GATTTTCAAGCTTTTAGTTTTTTTTTATAGTATACAACAAACCACTGTTATCAACAGAGCTCCTTGGCACAATTCTAGAGTAGGTAGCGAATGAAGTAGCAAACGTTTATCTTTATGATGCCGTGAATCCTGTCAGAATTTATAGTGAGCATTCTCATAATTGATAAATTTTTGATCGTCAATTTGACCTGCATCGTTGCAAAAAATGGCACCTATAATTCATAAATGTTTGATTTGCTAGCCAAATAAATAAGAAAATTTTCAAGTCTTCTTATTGAAAAAAGTCTAGGTCTATTTTAAAACTCTGGCCGAAATTTGTTTCATAATTTCAAGAAGAAAAAAGACTGTTTAATGATTAGCGCGAGAAATGATTTGTGATCCAAACTCCATCAAATCATAGCTGCTTTTGATCCTTTAAACCTTAACTTCAGTAATTGTGGACAAACAGCCCAATTTTTTAATTGATACTAACTCTGATCAACCAAACTTCAAAGCTCTGACTATTTCTGACCCTCATTTTAAATTGTATTTTGGTTTAGCTAGTTTTTTATCAACTGCGCAAACTGTAAGAGCATTTCCTTGTGGATAATTGCCTTCAAATGTTTCAAACCATTTGTGTAAAATAGGCTTGAGATCTGCGGTCAACGAAGCGAATATCAAAATAACATAAAACTGTAAGATCCAGTTTTGGCAATCGGTCACATCCTGGATCAACGAATGGAGTTCATAAGATTGATGATATCTTTTTTTTTAAATTCAAGGCTGCACTCAACTGTGTCAACAGAAGCTGCATCTAGAAGTTTTGCAAAAACCTTGCATTTCCCCGAAAATTCCTGAACGTATTAATAATTTTATGCTTGGAAACCAACAGTAAAGTCTGAGCTTACAACTCCATGTCCTGCAAATTCAGCATTTTAAGGGGAGCGAAACAAGGCTCTATTCTAACCTTTTTCTTTTCAATCATTCCATTGTTTGTATGAGGGGTTAACACTCCGATTGAAATGATAGAGTTGCACTAAATGACATGACCATTGAAGCCATGGATTTTGCAGACGATCTGAGCCTGATCGACGACAATGGAATCGACACTCAAGGACTCCTAGGCAAAGTTGCTGGTAAGGCAGAGTTTGTTTTTCTACAATTCAATGTTGACAACACCAAGTTCTGTGCACCCAAACCCTCCCCCCCCCCCCCCCCCTTCCCCCCAAAAAAAAAACATTGTCTATGAAAAATATTTAAGGAGAGTTGACAACTTCCGCGATTTCGGAAGTAAGACTCAGTTAGACGGAAACGAAGTATGGGGAAACCATAATCCTCTGCGGTTGCGAGAGCTGGCCACTCACTTCAGTAGAGGATCCAAGCCTGTGAAAACCACTGCCTCCTACAAATTCTTCACAAGAGACAAAATCTTTCAACTACCAACATCATATCTCTAGCAAAAGGTGACTCGTTGGATAAAAAAATCAATAGCGATGATTGAAGTCGCTTGGACACGTACAACGAATGAAACAGACAGATATCACCAAGTCATCTCCGAATTCAAAAAACTGGAAAAGACCACCTGATTGAGTCCAAAAACCCGGGGAAGAAATGTCTCCGATAAACTCAAGAAACATGTAAAGCTCCCTAAATTGACCTGGCTGAAGATCTGGCTGATACCATTTTTTGATTGGTGCAAAGAAGCCGCCCATAATAGAAGCCAATAGAGAGCAATTAATGGAAACCTGAAAGTAGAGGGCGAAGTGCAGCCTTGTTTGTAAAAGCCTTACCTGGACCTGGAACAACTCAATAGAATCCATATTTTGATTTTTCTCTGGATGACATGTTGAAACGATTGACTCACAAAATAAGGGACCATCATGCAATGTATTCCTCTTTTTATATGAAAGCGCTGTTAAGAAACAGCTGTTGAGTACCGCTGTTAGGAAACAGCAAGCTTTTTTTGATTTTGTCCAAACGGAATGTTTGTACTGTCTCAAATCCTGACATTTTTAAAAACAATGATGTCGCAAACTTGCCTTTTCAAAAAATATCCTATTTGTCGTCAAAAATATTACCCAAAATTGTAGAGTGTGTTTCAACACTAAAAAAGAATTGAAAATTGATTTACATTGATTTGAATTGAAAATATGAAATTAATTTGTCTGTTATACCATTTGGTGCGAAAAACCGCTATATTCCAGATTCTAGCCTCAAAACATGCTCTTACTGTAGAAATGCATTAGCATTGGATTCCAGATTGCTTTGGCCTTTTCGCGCACAGTACTGACCTTATACCAGAAAAACAGGAAGGTTCTGCAAAAAGTCGCTTTGTAGAAATTGAAAATTTCGATTTATAATTTGGTCCATGGAGAAGGTTTATTTGATACTTGATTTCACGTAAGCAAAACAATGATTTCACGTAAGATTTAACTTTCAAGCTGACTTAACTTCTGAAGTCTCAAAAATGAATTATTTTGAAATTTTTAAATTTTTTCTGCATATGACTAGAATCAACCTAAAAGGCAAAACTGTTTACTAAGCGTTCATTGCTGGTTGAATGCTTAGTAATTTTATCCTAAGTTATAAGTCTCACCTTAGATCGTCAAGTTGTCTTGACAAAAGTTAGAGTAGAAACAATATTTAGAAAAGGTGTGAATTAATTAGTTGGTTGAATACAAAGCACGGGGTTATTAGATTTTATAAACGAATCGAACAGCTTAAAGAAATATACCTATGAGGGGAGGTTGAGTTAATCTTATTTTGTTCATCAATATTTTATCTTCTTACTAAGGTCGATGGCTGATTAGTATTCTTGAGTCGCCCTTGATTGTGTCCACTTCCGCACATCTGGTTTGGTCGTCAGTATCGTCTTGCCGTAGTCCTTTTGGTACTTGTAGTCCAAACTTCCTCAGGTGTGGGTATCTCGAGTATCTCGATTTATAATTTTATCGAACTTTAAATGAGAATTTATTCTCTATTTTATTTGTGAAAAAGGCTAGTTTAATTTTATTTTAAAGGCAGAAAAGAAAAATTATTTATTTTGAAAAGATCTGATTGAAGAGATCTGACTTGCTGCTTACTGAGCAAAATGAAACACTGGAGATTTCAGGCCAGTCCTTTTGCTCGTAAGCATAAACCGGCGGCTGATTCAATCTTTCATTATTCAGGTTTCACCTGCTCATTTGTTCTCCCTTTCTTATAAGGGAATTTTCAACTAGTTTTTATTTGATTTTTTCAAATCAAATATCTTTAACTTATTAGTCCCCTTTGATTAAAACCGCAGCCTTCAGTTTGTCTGATTAAAAATTCATATTACTCTCTCTGATGCATCATATTGCAGGTGCATCTCTGCGTAATCAAAGCAAGGAGAATTTCAGCGCAGCCGGCAAGACTGCTAAATATTTATCAATTGTGTTTCAAGTTAAAGTTAAAAGGGACGTGTTAATAATCGCCGCCCTTTTAAAATAGTGAGCATGAAAAAATGACAAAAATTGGACAAGTATTTAAAAAGGATTGGATTTTCAAAACAAGATTTTATAGTCCTAATAAGAGTAAATCAGTCAATATCTGATTTAGTGAAAAGAGGCTTTAATTTAAATGGCACGCTCCAAATTAGAATTGGGTCGTTAAATAAACAATTAAGACAATGGTTTTTTGTCTGTGTAGTATTTCTCAATACTACAACTGCTCGGGTCAAATTTGATTAAATTATTTGAAATAAATTAACCTGAAACTATTCAAACAAAAATGTTTAATTACCGAAACCCCATTATTGCTTTTCCTCTATTACTATTTCTGGGTTCAACAATAAGACATCCTTGCAGCAATTGACTACATAGCAGTTAATAAAAAAAAACTGAAATTATTGTGTAGCAACCTTTAATTTTGACCTCTTGGGTTGAGTCCTTGTAAAAATCATTGATGAAAACTTGCTAGCTAGTTTTATATAAAATTCAAAGAACTATTCCATGGCATTTCATAGATCCAAGAAATTGTATTTTTTTATCGAGAAACATAGATAAATTAGCGATAATTTATTGATAATTTGGAGAAGAAAAGTGAAAAATGTAGCAAAAAATTGCTGGTTCGATGCTGACACTTTTAATTTTTCTAGCTCCAAAGCGGTGCTAACTAAATAAAACATGAAACATTGGTCAAGCAAACATCATTTTATTCTCCTTCTAATCAAAATACCGATCAAAACATTACTTTTATTCAGCCCATTTCTTTTTGTTTTTACTTTTTTTCCACGCAAAATTAGGTGCCACTAGTAATAATCGAAATGAGTTGAGTGATATTTCTTATTTAAAATTTTTCAGTCGTGATTCGTCGTGATACAGTGTCAATGAAAAGCCATTTGTAGTTTTTGATTTATGTTTTAAGCGAATAAGGCGAGTGAGCAGGCTTAATTAGGCTTACTAAAAGCCGTTTAGAATAGCTTATTTGAGCTTAGATTTTGTTTTACTTGAGTACACTTCGTTTTTGGAAATTTTTAGCGCAAAGTTGTAATCAAAAAATATCAGCTAAAAATTTTGAAATTTTTTTTGAAAAACTTAGTTTTTTCCAGTCATTTTCTACAAAACGGTTTTTGAATCTGTCTATTTTACTATAATTGTCTACAGTAGCGTGCCGACGGGGGGGGGCTGACTGTCGAATATGCTTAAGTTCTGTTTTTTTGTTTAGATTTTTTCATTTTTCATCACACCACTCAGAAAAAAAACGAGACTAATTTCTAAAAAAAAAAAGAAGAAGATTTTTCTACTTTAATAGGACTTAAGACTATGGTCGGAACATTCCATACTTTAGGGAGTTGTTACCCTTCCGTAAAACTTACGTTAAGCTGGCCGAAAACAATTCATTTCGAAACAAGTCATTCCGATTATAACATAATCCGTTTAGTGAAAATCACCTTCAATCATGTGTAATTTTTAAACAACTCGCTTCTATGTATAACGTTTTATCTTTTGATCTATATTCAATTTGGATAAGTCGTTTGGTTATAAAAATCTACCATGAACAGCAGAATGTTGAATACCAACAATAACAAAGAACAACGCATGCGTTTTATAGATTAGTGAATTCACAAACAATACCGCGTGCACAAATGCATTACGTTTGGTTTTGAACGAAAATTATAAATAAAATGATATTATAACACTTGAACAATTTTTTAATCAGTTTTGTTCATAACCAATAAAAACTATAAGACCTGTTTTGTCGGCTATATATTTTTTATTGGAAACATATTTTTCTATTACCGTTGATCGTGACCTCTGACCAATTTTGGGGCCATGGAGCTGGAGCAGTACCGGGAGAGGGTGATGCCGCCTATGCCCATGAGTTTGGCCGGCGGAATGCAGTCGGGACGCCAACAGACTTCAACTCCAGGAGAAGTTCTCATCAAGGTAGGAAAAGAATGCCTCTTTTTTTTTGGGGGGGGGGGGGGGTTGTGGTTGTTGCGAGGTGAAAAATTCATTTATGCTGAGACATTGATTTTTTAAAGGGGTGATACTTGATACCATAGGGGGAATGGGGTTAGTTAACAAGATTTAAAATCTTCAAGAGTACTTTATATCGAGTGGTTATTATTTGAAAAACATCCGAGGGGAGTTCAGAAATTTTTTTCGAAAACCCTATCACGAAAAACGACTTGGGACAAAAAGTGAAAAGTTAGTGAACGTTTTGTACATACAAAAAGACCAAGTAATTATAATCTCTCATTCTAAAATCTATGCAATATTCAATTTAATAGGCTATAAGTCAATTTTGAATTTAAATCTGGATTCTGGACGAACTTCTGTCCTATTGAAGAGGTAAAAATTTTTTTTTTGTTAAAAGTTTTACTCGCCAAATTTTTAAATTTATAATGAAGCTTAACTCTGGCTTCATTTCAGGAATGTTTTTGGCAGTTTAGGTGCAAGAAGATTTGAAGCAGCTGAAAGAGCGTCTTCTTCTGACCGCCAATATCCAGGGCAGTGGCTCGGGTAGTTTCGGGGGAGGGCATGGAGGTCTGGATATCAGTACCCTAGAGAACGCCATCTCAAACACAGAAATGGCCATCATGGTAAGAATCTGGTCTTGCATAGTTTGTACCCATTTTCTGGATACATCCTTCCGGGTCAACCGAATCTGAACGAAGTTAGTCAACCTAAAACGACTCATTTTGTTATCGGAAATCAATTTTTCATTCAATTCATCAGGTAAAACGGTGTCGAATTATCGAATTAACCCAAAACCACGGATAGTTTTTTATCCGATTACGAAACTCAAGGTCGTTCTTTTTCTATCACATTCACGACGCGGCCTGAAAGTTTTAAATCTATACATTTTTAATGATTGACTGATTAAATACTTGAATCGATTGTTCCCAATTACAATAAATTGGAAAAATGAGGGTTGAAGGAAAAAAATTGTTCTATTTTCAGAAACAAAAAACATAGTAAAACAATGATTTTAATGAATTTTCAATGACAAATTTTTGAGACATCAAAAATATCTTTCCTATTAAGGCCCCTTGGCAAATTATAGTCCCCTCCCTCCCCCATAAGAATTAAAAAAAACAAGAAGAAGGTGGCTATAATTTTTTGTTACAAAGGCTGGGTTACTGTAATGGCAAAGACCCACTTTTTCCTGTTTTTCCTGAACAGTTACTTGAATTGGTGATTATAATATGCAGAGACATGGGGAAGAGTTGGTGGGGTACAGGAACCAGCAGTTGACTACTCTGCCCACCCTGGATCCCAACCTACACATGCCACAGTTCGACCAGCCATTCCCAGACAAACTCTACAGGTACACACTTCATATACTTTGTTCAATCTCAGCTATTGATGAACTTGAAAAACTTTTTTTTGTGACAGTTTTGTGAAGGAACCCGAGTCGAGATTTTTCACCTAAATTGAAGCAAGATTTGAGCAGTTTGAGCGGTTTTTGAACGGTTTGTCTAAAAAAAAACGCTCAAAAACCGCGCAAGATTTCAGCGGTTTATCTAGAAAAGTACGTTGTGTAATCTTTCTTTGTATACGATAAGATTTCACAATCTTTCTCTTGCTATATCGAGGTGAATAATCATTTTTTTTTGTTCATATAAGCATCAATTTTGCATTTCCTATTGTGTTTTCGTTAAATTGATGTCTATAAAGTTAATGGAAAAACAAGGTACAATTATCAATTAATACAGGGACAAACTCACCCAAGAAGCTCTAGGACATCGGAACACTCCAATGGACAAATCTAGGGCCCTAACTTCCTACGAGGAGGGACCAAAAATGGTCAAGCTACTAACCAAACGACCCATGGCCCCCAAATCAGGAGTTCATGACTTGATGGGAGCTAAGCAAGTGTCGTTCGAATCCCCGGGAATCAAAATGCAACATGACCAGGAGGCCATCAAGATATTGGATCCGACACATCCTGAAAATCGCGAGACACTGCATGCAATGTATGGGATCTCGCTGCCGCTGATTGTCCAGGAAAAAGATTATGTCCACGTGAGAACATATTTCATTCTAGAACTTTCCGGAATATCCAATAAGAAATTCTTAAAATAAGCTTGTTGCAGGCTGGAATGGACCGCATCCACAAAGGGTCAAACATTGAACCGGCAACAGTTTTGCCTCGAGTTAACCGAATTTACCCTCAGGTTCGTCTTCATTCATTTTTTTAAATCTCTTTAGCTTCCAGCCTTGTAAACTAGGAAAACAATTACTTTGAAGTGTTTCTCAAAACAAATTAGATTTGGAAAGACAGAAAACAGCATTTTGTGCTAACAAGTTGGAGATTCCACATAAAGTGCCTAAAAGGTGCCTAGAATTGGTGATCCCAGGTAGTGCAATCCGCGTCAACATTTTAGTTTATTTAATATTCTTTTTTGGGCAAAAGCATCTTTTACACTTTTAAAATGCAGCTGAACCCGCCAGGAATTTCTGAGGACGATCTGAACCGAGGTCTGCTGAGTCTGATCGAGCGGGGTTTGATTCCCCCCGCGGCCGAGATCACGATTGAGCCCTCCCCTATCCGACAGAGCAGGGCCCCCCTACACAGAATAGGGGAATTGAGGAACAGGAAACACACCCCCGAGGAGACTAAGAAAGCAGACTCTACCCTGACGGGTGTCAAGGTAAGTGAACAAAATCACAAAAAAAACTGAGTTCTTAACTCTTCTATAAGTAAAGCTAGAGTAAAAATTTAACTTTGTGCATGATCAAATTCATTCAGAAAAGAATGCTGGATATCTTGGTAAAATTTTTCAAAAGAGTGTGCTGTGTTAAAAGCCAATCTCTGAAAAATCGTAATGAATAGTTGAATTTTAATATTATTCTACCTCCGTGAAAATTGTTTACTATTTGGGTAGTTTCTAACAATTTTTTCTCATAATATTTTTTCCAAGGAGAAAAAGTAAGTTTTTCCTAGAAACATTAAAATCAGACTCAGGGAATAAAAGTAAAATGTTTTCAAGTTGGATCCGAACATCAAAACGGAAAGCGATCTCTGCTCCGAGAAGGGCGAGCGAGTGACCTCAAAGCCGATCAACCCGAAACGACCAGCTAAACTACTTCGTCCGTCGCAGCAGAAAGTGTCTTCGCTACAACTGGAACCTCCGAGTGGCGAGCCCACCACCCGAACTCCAAAAGGTAAGAAACATTTTTTATATCGAAAATTTTGGTAAATTTCGAAGTGTTTGCTGAATTTTTGTCAAGGAAAATATTGGAAGAATCAGATTATTTTTGCCCATTTTTAGTTATTTGCGTGGTCAGTTAAAACTAAAATAGATGCATATTTGAATTTGAAAGCTGTGGCTTTTTCTACAGCCCAAGAGGGCAATTTGAAAATTTCACTTGAAGAATTCCATTTTAGGAAAAAAAAAGTATTCAAAAAGTATTCAGATTTTCTCAGAAGAATTCGGTGTTTAGAAAATATCAGAAAAATAATACTTTCCCACAGAAATTTTGTGTTTGTTAGCCATTGGGTTCAGAATTTTTTGTACTGCTCGTTTTATTGAGTAAACTCTTAATTATTTTACAGTTGACTTGTTATTAGCATTCGGCATTTACCATAGTCTATCAAGAAAGAGCATGTACTATTTTTGAAGGTTTAGCGAGATTCTGACAAGATCTTGCGATATGATCTGTTTTCAATGTAGCCTTTTCCAGTGAGAGTTTTTAAAATATTTTTATGGAAAAACAATAAGTTTTCTGAGCTTTTTCTTTGAGCATAAACTCGTACTTAAAGTCTTTGTGACATATCAATTTTCACTTGCAATTTTCACTTGCCCTCAGTTGCAACGAACCATCATTTCCAAAAATCTAGCAAGACTTTGCAAGATAAACCTCCATGAATGACTAGGGTATCTACTCATGTTAGAAACAATTTAAAAAAAACATGTTTTTGAAACTTTTGAACTTAAATTATCTGCTTTTACACTGCCTCAAAAAAAATTTAACAATTATAAGGGCAATTTTTTGGGTTGAAACTATTCGAGATATTAAAATAAAACGAAACAACAATGGCACTTAATCGCATGCTTTTTTTCCACATCCATATTTTGTTGAATAACAATAAAAAAAATTTTTATGTCCTTGGCGCCAACAAATACTTGAACTAAAGAAAGAGTGCACGCCAGTAAGACACAAATTTTTTGGTCAACATTTGCCAATTAGTTAAGAACAAAAATCAGATTAGGAGGGTTATACGGCTTTATGGGGAGCTCAAAAGATGAATTTGGTCTACCCAAAAAAAATTGACAAAAAAATTCAACAGTTAAGACCTCCCCCTTCACACAAAATTTCTGTAAACGTCGTCACTGATTGCATTTCACAATTTGATCTAGTAATATTGTACAAAGGACAAAGAATAAAAAAACTTTGGAGGATTTTTAAAAATTGATGTTGTTTTAGGAAACTTGGCGAATGATGGTAGCGGGAGGAAAAAAGAGTCGATGGTTCTGAACCCGACAGTGATCGAGGCGAGTGAGGGAAACACCCCCACCACAACTGGTCCAACCGAGAGAAGATTGGAGGGGGAGATGGCACTGGTGCCCAGAGTTCCCAACTCACACCCATATGTGAGTAGGAAATGTTACACTCGAATAATCCAAAATAATTAATTATTTTTAAAGATACCGAGTAGTATTTATTATCGTTTCTTCCAGCCTCCGGTAAATTTTAAAGATACCTTGACTGGGTAAATTAACTGAATCAAAGACAGAGTGAAAAAAGGAATGAACATTTAGATGAAAGAAATAACGAAAAATTGAATGAATAAAAAATGACTAAAATATGGAATAAATAAATGGATGAATGATTGAGTAAAAAAATGAAGGAATAAATAAAAAACTGAATGAATGATTAAAATAAAAAATGAATGATTAATTGAATCAACAAAGGAACAAGACTGCTCGTATCAGAGCAAAGCTTCGAACGTTCCGACTTACCCTTAATATCCAAGAATAAGAGTTTTTTTTTAAAAACAAAGTGATGCAATGAGTGTATAGTGACAACTCAATTTTTATCTGACTAGTATCCCCTGTAAATCTATTTAAAAACATGACTCATTGTAACTTGAATTTTATTTAATAAATTTGAATTCAAAAACAAGACCAACCAACATGGATCACTGCGACTTTGAATTAACTAAGAATCATCATTTGAAACATTAAGTTTTTCCTAAAATTTTTCAACAATTCCCGCTGATTTCTAATTCTAATAAAATTTTGAACAATAAGTTAAGTCACAAAAAATGATTATATAAAAATGAGCAACAAAAACGGATCATAAGTCTACGTCTTAACTGAAAACGATGAAAAAAATTCAATTTTTTCTAGAGAATTTTCAAAAAAAATCTTAATTGTTTATAGTTTCTAATCTATCTTAGGCAATAAATATATCTGAGCAATTTAAATTAAAAACAAGAGCAACAGAATGAAGCTTTGTGACTAGAAGTGACTAATAAACGTCTTAAAAGCCCAATTGTTTCTAGAAGTTTTTCAAAAACTCCTGGTGAATTCATAATTGAAACATCTTTTCCTAGAAGTTTCTAGAATTTTTTTCCTATAAAACTCCGTATCATTTCAAGTTCGTAAATTATCAAGTGATTGGATTGAGTCATAGACAATTTTTTTAAATCTAAAATGAAAGAAACAAAATAGAGCTTTGTGACTAGAACTAACTAACCTAATTGAACTCAGTTTTCCAAGAAGTTTTTCAAAAACTCTTTGTGATTCCATGTTTGAAGACAATCAAGGCAATGAAATGAAGGTCAAGCAAGCACTGTTACTAAAATTCTCTTAAAATCACCAGGAAAAAAAACTAATGATTTTAACTTTCAAAAAATCTAATGCAATAAAATAAAGATTAAGCCATTAATTCAAATTATGAAAAAAGCATCAAAAACCGAGCATCGAGACTAGATTCAACAATAAACTTTGATTTGACTTTTTTTATGAAAGCCCCTAATGAGCACGAGTTTTAGAACAATCTAAGGCAAAAAAAATCAGCATGCTTGAAACAATCAAGGCAATAAAATCAGGCGTTAGCAAGCAAACAATTTTGAAAACCGGTGTAACACAAATACAGCATTATGGATGAAAGGAACTAAAATTTGTCTTTAAAAACTTCAGTTTTTGCTATAAGGTTATAAACATTCCAAAACAAAACAAGGATAGCCAGTTATTGTGTAAGTTGATCAGAAATTCCGACCATTATTGTCGTTTTCTTTTAAAGTGGCGGATTAAGTATATTAGGTACAAAAAACTGTGCATTAGTTATATTCGACAGCCATACTGAAATATGCAAATGGAAAGACAATTTTTGCAGAAAAATTACTAGAAAAAAAAATTAAAAACTTTTTCAGAATGTTTTTTTCAAGTTTCCTTCAGTTTTTTGAACTTTTGAAACTTATGATTTCAAAAATACGTTAAAGTATTCAAAGTAATTTAACGCTACCTAAAAAAACTAAAATTTTACGTTTTAAATTTAGATATTATAAGCTTTTAAGCCATAATAAAACTGCTCGCTCGCTTTATTCGCTCGAAATGAGACGAAAAGTTAATCATTTCATACCAGTTTTTCTCGACACTGGGGAATTTTTTTCAAACTTTTAAAATTTAGTTCGATCACAACTGTATGGTCTTCAATATGATATATCACTTAAACCCAAACCGATGATTATTTGTGGTACCTGATTTTGCGTGGAAAACAAAAAGAACAAAAAAAACTAAAACACACCGAATACAAAGTTCCTCACCATACGGCGGAAAATTGCGGAATGAATCCATCATTAATACAAATAGCGCAAATACGCCGAAGATAAAGATAAAGAGACGAAAAAAACTTAAATTCAGTTTGCTTAAATTTTGCATACTATTAATATTATCAAATCAAAAAGAAAATGAAGTTTTGTTTTAAAATATAAAGTCATGGTTAAAATTATCCCATATGTAAAATGGTTTTTCATATATGGGAACAGATTGATTCTTTTGTAATTTCATGATCAAGCAAATTATTGGGGCTATCTGGAGAAAAAATTTATATAAATTTCGATTTTATGGTGAGAAATATCCATTTTCTTGATTTTTACGGAGAAAAAAAATATTCTAACTGCAATATAAGTTGTTACAAAACAAAAAATTTAATGGATTTTTTTGACCATTTAATCTAGTATTTTTGTCTTCGAATTTGAAATTGTCATATAATTGATTATTAGAATGTTAAATTTTTTTTCGACCACGAAGTCGCAAGATAATTAATTATCAATGGAGAAATTCGGTGCGGGTAGGACGCCTCAAAAAGTGGACGCCCTTATAAACGATAAAAAATGATTGAATTAGAAAGATTGAAACCAATTCAGATTTTTTTCTCGATTGATTGCAATTAACTTTTTCTTAATAATTCCCAAGTCCTGCTTTCAAAACTGTGCTGAAAGCAAAACTTACCTACGTGTATTGTCAACTTTTACACCTTGAAGTTCTGGCTGATTATGATTGTAAAATCTCTAATACCATAAAAATTTAATGCCCAAAAATGAAATCAGCCAATCACAATTGAGTGAACAAAAAACAATGACTATTTTTGAGAGAGCTGCTTATGTTAAAAGGGTTAAACTCAACCAATTAACTCTTTCGAAAATACTTAACATTTTCGGGTATTTACACATTCTGTCCGTCTGTAACGAATAAATTCCCCAAAAGTTTAATTTTTGTTCAAACCCATCGTTTCTGTTCAGCCCCCTCCCGTGACCCCCCACTCGGCCGAGCACTTGAGGAGTCTGGATCACCGCTTCGCCATCCAGCTGGGCAAGAGCAAGACCTCCTCGCCAGAGTACGGGGCATTCAAACAGCACTACTGTCTCAATTGGGGAAGGTACGCAGCTTCATCCATTTGTTCTTTTTTTCCAATTTTGATCAATCAGGGAGTAAAGGGGGGTTGATTTCGGATTCCATATAAGCGGGCTCGTGTGAAAAAAGATCTACTACTTTTCTCAAAGCATTATTGACTCAATTTGTGCAACTATTGAAGCCACAAAAAATTATTAAAATTACTTAATGAAAAAAAAATTAATTTCTGAAAAATTACTTTGTGAGTGGCTTTCTCGAAGCCAGAGGACTTTTTTCTCTCGATATCCCTGTTTTGCAAGATTGCACGTACTCATTTTCTACGAATATTTGTCTCTTAAAACTGATTTATATTGTTAAAGGTTCATATATTATATATACTATAATGTTATATTATACATATATTATACGTAAATATATTATACATAGTATACAAGTTATAATATTAAAAATATTAAATATTAAATATTAAAATATAAAAAAAATTTTAGAAAATCTTTAAAAAATAAATGCATTCAGGGGCGGATCTAGGATTTTCTCGAGGGGGGCGGATTTTCAAAAAATTTTCCAAAATTTTGACGACCTTTTTTTTTTTTTTTAGGTCGGCCAAATTGATTTTTCGAGCTCTCCCAAAGCACTGTTTTGCCCTTACTTTGGCTAAATTTTCTGCGCCGGAGGCAAATTTTTAAAAACAGTCAAAAAAGCCGTTTTTGGGCAATTTTTGAAAAATTTTGACAAAAAGTCGCGTTTTTTTTTGCGCGCGCTCCCCCTCAAAGTTAGTATATATTGGCGCCAAAGGCGCCTTTAGAAAAATTTTAGGGTCGGTCGGCCAAAAATGGATTTCTGAAAAAGTATCAAAGGGGGGACCCTTTGGGTCGGCAGGGGGTCGAATCCCTGAGGGGGGGGGGCGTCCGCCCCCCCCCCTAAATCCGCCCCTGAATGCATTACAATTTTAACGACTGCATAATCTCATTTTATCGATTGTAATTGGCCATAAGCCGAAGGGAGATTGGACAAAATTGAGTGGCGAACAAAGGCTGTTGCAACGCAAAACGTAACTAATGCGTGAAACATAAATCGTTCAAATTTAAAACTACGACCTACAAAAGAGCAGTTTTTTTTTGCACTTTTGCAGTTTCTGCAAAAGTCAAGCTGGTTTTAATTGCTTCAAAAGTCAAACAGTTTCGGAAAAGGTCAAGCTGGCGTTGCGTCCGATATACGATGATGTAAGTAAAAAGTTTGAGTTATAGTCGTTTATGACTGATTATGTCCGTTTATACAAAAATTATGGATATATTCCGATTTATGACCAAACACGAGTATTTACCGAGAAATACGAATAAAATATTGATTTTAACTTTGTTTTGTAGAGATTAGCGCACATTTTTGGCGCCCCACAAGGGACAGATATTAGTTAATTCCCTTATAATAATCCGAGTTATTATTACAAAAACGGTTATACTGAAAAATTCATAATGGATGTGTCTGGGAGTTCAATAGCACTGACAGGGTAACCCATCCAGACGATAAGTCACTGACAGAGTTTCTGACTTGCAACAAGACGGTTTGGGCTATTCAGTGAGGCTGTTTGTGACCGACGATCTCATCGGTGCGCCCTATCTTCACAAAAACTGTAAGACCGAACCTAAACTTTTAATTTTGATAAATTACGGATACGATGTTTTATATTATAAATGTGAGACACAACGCCAGTACTCACCCCTAATTTTTCTCGATACCCGAAAATTTTTGGCCAGTTTGATTAAACTGAAATTAGAAAAATTGCTCTAAATCGTGTACTAGATAACCGGAACTAGATTTTTTGCTCGATAGCCAAAATGTTGGCTATTTTTTTGATGAATTGAAAATTTATAATATCGGAACATAGACTAACGGTTACTAGATATACAAAATTTTGTTTGAAAATTGAAAATTTTCTGAAAAATTAGTCCAAAACTCCGTTGAACCGTATAGTTAAAGTATGTTTAGTTGTCTCGGTAGTTAATATCAGGCAAGTTAAGTTAATTTTTTTCATCCTCAGGTTCACTCCGCGTGTGTTGTTGAGAGTTAACCGATTTGCCTGATTCTCCAACCCCATTGGTAAACTTAAGGTTTACAACGACTTGATACCTGTTTGCATTCTTTCGCTTTTCAAAACATTTGTTTCGCAACGACTGACTAAGTGGTCCGGGACGGTAAAATTAAGCAAGTTAAGTTGTTGTCTTTCATCCTCAGGTTTGCTCCGCGTGTGTTGTTGGTTTTCAACCGACTTGCTTAATTCCCAAACCTCTTGGTAACTCGTCCAGCTACTAGCCGATTAGTAGTGACGCACCATCGTACGACCGGTCCACAAATTTCGTACGCCGGAACATCATCCTAAGTGGTCAGGGAGGTGATATTAAGTAAGTTAAGTTGGTTTTATTCATCCTCAGGTTTTCTCCGTGTGTGTTGTTTGATATCAACCGACTTACTTAATCCCCAGCCCCATTGGTAACTTTACTCACCGAAAACCGTTCCGAATCGCCCCGCAAACGTCCGATAACCGTTAAGTATAGTTTGAGTTAAGTATAGACCCTAGAGCCATGGATGAGAACTTTCAGAAGAGGGTTCAAAGGTTATTTGCGAAGCGAACCAAGCTTGAAAATGAACTGTACAAGTGCCATGAAGTTATAATTGAGAACATTGAAAGTCAGAGTCGCTCATCAAAGATTGACACTCAGATTCAGAATTGCAAGAGCCTGATAGAGACTGCAGTTGAAATAAATGAGGAATTGATTAAGTTAGCTTCTAAAAGTGTTGATCCTGATAAATTGATACCAGCGCAGGATATGTGGCTTCATACGGTTACATCAAGAAACGATACAGTTTTACAGAAGGCTGCATCATATAAAGCTGGCTTAAACGTTGAACCCGAGGAAACAGAGCTTGACAATGTTGCAGAATCGTTAAGTACGATCGTAACAACACAACCACAAGATTCACATGAAGCAGATGCGCGCTCTAAGGTGTCGCGGTACAGTAGTCGACATCATAAATCAGGTTCGCATAAATCCAGTCGATATACCGTCGCGCAGTCAAAAACATCAACTGAGAAGAGGCGAGATTTGTTGGTTTTGAAGAAGCAGCAAGAGGAACTTCAGAGACAAGCAAAGGTGTCATTGAAGTTGAAAGCGCAGCAAAATAAAATAAAAGAACAGCAAGGAAGTTTAGAGTTGGAAGAACTATCTGAGGTACACCGCAGGAAACTGGCTGAAATTGAGTTAAAGGAATTCGAGTTGGAAGAAGAGCTTTCTGAAGCAAGTGAGAAGATAGGAAATGCTAGCGTAACACATGTTGACCCACAACGTACTGAACAATGGGTAGAAAACGTTGTCACTGAGCAAGAGCAAGCCGAAGTTGTTGCAAGCTCAGAGCAAAGTCATCCAGTAGTCGAGAGTTCCACTTTGATTGCTACTGATGTTTTGCAAGGGGTTGGTGCCGTCGTCAGCGGGGGTGCCTTTGTCAACGCTGGTCAAACCACATACAGTGAACCGGGAAGCCACAATAGGAATCGAATTCAGGCTCAGAGATCAAGTTTGGTCCAATCGCGTCTGTCATTGCACTCAATCGAGAACCCATCTAGTTTACCACAGTTCGTTGCCTCCAGCTCAAACTTTGTTACTCCACACTTAGCTTCAACACCTCATGCTGAAGTTTCGCAAAATCACAATATGATACCACAAGCAAGTGGTAGCATTCCCGCTTCAATGCCCTTTGGTAATCCCACCATTAATGTGGCACCGCCTTCTGTGTCGACCGTTACTAATCCAGTTTCGCTTCCGGCGAGTCACCCTTTTGTTCCTCCATTAACCGTTCCGATTCCCATTTCGCTTCCGATTATTCAACCATTTGTCCCGTCAACCGTTCCTATTCCCTCTTTGCTTCCGGTCAGTCAGCCACATTCCGGCCCCGTTTCAACTGGGTATCAGGCACCTGCAGCGCCATCCCATCAACCTATAAATGTTCCAAACAACCCAACAAGTTTCTCAAGTGAACACTATAACCCGTATAGCAGTTTGTGGAGACCTGCCGCGACTGCGCAAACGATGCCAGTTCCTCAATACTGCGCACCGCCCTCAAACGTTTTCTCAGTGACAACTCCTGTTGTTCCACCAAACACCGTAGTTCCTTATACAAAATCTGGGACTGTGTACTACACCCAGCCGCAAACTCATCCAGTTGTTGAAACAGCGCATCAAGGTGATCCACCTACATCTCCTGCGCCCACTACGGGCCCGTCTTACGTGCCTAATAGCGAACAACCCATCTCGGCGAGAGAGTTAGCAGATATCATTCTGCATAGCCGCAAAGACCGTCTACCGGAGTTGAACTTGGAAGTGTTTGATGGAGAACCACTTAACTGGTATGAATGGTTCGGGCAGTTCATAGCAACAGTTGATTCGGCTATGCTAACTGATGATGAAAAACTCAAATATCTGAAAACGCACGTTAAAGACAAAGCCAAGAGTGCAATTGCGGAATACGGCTACAGTGGAGTGTTGTATAAGGATGCTCTAGCAACTCTCCAGAGAAAGTTTGGGCAGCCTCATGTTGTAGTTGGTGCACATTTGGATAAGTTGAAGAATTTTCCCGCATTGAAGATGCACAACTCTGATCATGTTATAAGTTTTTCTGCGGTGATTTCTGGGCTCGTAGCTGTTTTTAGGTCTTTGTCGTTCAATGACGATTGAAAAGTGTGAACCTATTTAATCAAGCCGTCAGTAAGCTTCCCACAAATCTAAAAGAGGCATGGTCCATGCATACTGTTAGACAACATTGGCAGCGATTAACATTGCTAGACTTCAACGATTGGCTTAAGAATAAGGCAGAAGGCCATGAGCGATTGAAATCTTTAGTCAAAGTCGAGCAGCCAGTTAAACAAAAAGTAGTTACAAAAGTGCTTGCAGGTAACACTAAGGTAAGTTCTAAGGATGAGAAAAGTAGAGAAAAGACCAGGTTTCCTCCATGCTCGCTATGCAAAGGGCAGCA